ATACATAAGCAACAACTTCAACCGATACACCAACTTGTGTAACGCAACACGTACAATCGAAGGCTGCAGGAGAGAGAGATCGGTAAGAGAAGTTTCGGTGAAGTGTTTCCGAGCGCTCGCCCGTACCGGTCAGTGCCTATATATATACATATATATATCTCTCTCTCTCCTCTCAAAATCAGTCTCGTCAAGCCGGTCTCCCGTTCGTTTTTTTTTCTTCTTCTTCTATCTTACCTCTACCTCGGCTTCTCGTTGCTTTACATACATACCGATACACGCATACATATAGCTACGAGCTTGTTGTACCACGAGAGTTCGAGAGAGACGGTCAGAGAAGATCGAAGATGCTGCCGGCTTCGTGGCGTAGGTGCACTCACGTATATATTATACATACATTCTCATATACCTGCCACCTTTCTTTCCAGCTTGGATTCCCCACACTCGTATACATACGCGTATTTATATATACCGATATAAGTGCCCATGGATTCAAACACATATTGAGTATACATACATGCATATATATATCAACCGGTCGCGCGTAGTTTATCGTTACATGTGTGTATACCAACACTCGTATAAAATACATGTATATGTATAGAGACCGGGCCCGTATATATATATATATATATATATANAAGTATACACATCATATCTGTTTCTTACGAAGATTTATATATATATACACGTGAGCACTTCCCTCCACCTCCTTGACTCGCGTCGCCTCCTCCTCTTCGGCCTTTCGCCTCGCCACCTCCTTTTCGTCGGGGCCTTACGTGCATGTGTATGAGTATTATAGAGCCCCGTCGTCGTCGTCGCCGCCACCGTTGAAGCCGCAACAACCGCTGCCGACCACCGCCTTCCCGATCCTTTGCCGCTCACCTCGTCGTCAGTTAGTGGGTGCACAGGTAGCTCGACGGACTACCGACAATTACAATCACCCGCTGCGAGCTTCCCAACTTTTTTTTATCATTTCTCGTAATTACCTGTTACATATTATACAGTGTGCGCGCGTGTGTGCACCTACAATATAAATATAATATGTGCTTCGCTGCCTGCCGTTTCCTCATGCTATATACGTATACCGGCTTACATTGAGAACAAGCAAGACGACCGGAAGACACTTTGCCCACGAATCGTGGACGATGTTGCATGGAAGAGCGACCGACGAGTGCGGGCTTTTCTGTGGAGTTGAACTCTGTGCCGTGAACAACAACGATCGGGCATAGAAGAGGATGGGGGTGAAAAATCGGTAGTACGATCATTCGTAAAATAGGCACGAGTGCGACCTGTTGATCCGTTACGTCGTCCTCATAGTCCATACAAGTATAGTAATGTTCGTGCATGCGTGGAGCTATTCTAGGAGAGAAAGCGCGCGAGTAGAAAGTGCCCCGTTCCGGAAAAGGCATATAACGTAATCGCCGAGCGATCGCTCTCCCGCTCACTGCTCCGCGAAATTGCGCGTCTATATGGTATACGTGCTGTCTAATTTTAGAATCCCGCAACGTGCAACGCGACCATGTTCCTATATGTATGCGTGTTGTTTGTTGTCGCGAGTTGTATGAAGATTTCGATTCGCGGAGATCGGCACGATCGAAGGGATCGGTAAGGGCTTTCCAAAGCGAAGGAATATAACACCCAGCAGCCGAGGAAGATCTGGCGATAAAAGAAGGAAGAGTAGAGCCAATTAAGCGAGGATGCGCTAATGAAAAAAAAAAAAAAAATTATAATTAACCACAAGACACCGTTGGGTAAGATTCTATGCTCATTTCCGGGACTTGACTATCTCCTCTAATTTTCGATATCATAATGCGAATCTGCTTCGCGAGAGGTGCCGATCTGGTACGACACAAGAGAGAAAGAGACAGTGATTTGAATACCAAATGACCGCGGAGAGCCAACCTCTCTCTCTCTCTCTCTCCCGTCTTCGGTTGTGCAACCTTCTCATTCAGCGGTCCCAAGCTCGTCGGCCTTTTTGGGCCTCTCTCTGACTCCCAGCTACAGTCAACTTTCCTCTACCTGTCTCGCCTATTTTTAACCGTGACACATCTCTCTTTCCACCTTGGCTATGTGTATATGATTTTTGCACGCCCAACGTATACATTGTAGGTGGCAAAATGGAAGAGGAGGAAGGGGGGGGGGCAGACAGACGCAATCGCGGTCTCGCGAATCGCCGAAACCGGATAGCAAAATTTGAGCGTGGCGATGGAGGGGCTGAAAATCGGCATACCTGCGCCCGCCTCGCGTGCTTTATAGATGGCCTAGACAGCCTTGTTCCATACGTGCCTTTTGTAATATCGCTTCTATCCTTTTTTTTTCCATTTTTCTCCTTCTCTCTCTCTCTCTCTTGATCGTTTCGAAAGTGCGCGCGGAATTTTTGCACGACGGCAAGGACGTGTGATCTCTCTCTCGGCCCCTCTGTTCAATATGTATTTTCTCTCTCTATCTCCCTGCTTGTTTTTTCTTTTTTTTTTTTACGCAAGTATAATTGTGACGATATCTCATTCGTTTCTGCAATAGTCGCGTCGATGCAACATCGCGAGCAGGGGGGAGGGGGATTTTTTATTCAACGAAGGTGAGAGCACCGGTTTGTTACTTAACGCAATTACTTAACAGCTAATCCATAATCATGGTAATCTGATGTCGGTTTATTTATCACTCGATTAGCACTGCTCGAGGATATTAAATGCCTGGGCGCCTATTGATCGCCTAACGAGCAGAGTTGATTTTGCCATTACAGCTTGTCGTGGTCAGCTTGTGAGGTGGTCGTGTGTGCGTAAGGTACACAACTTTGCAGAAAAAAAATGGGATACGAAAGATTCCACGTGAGCACAAAAACTTACGAAAATCCGCCACGATACTCATTTCGACTTATTACCACGTGACCGCTTCCTACAATTTGTTTCATGCGTGGTAAGTCTTTCAATCATTGTACGCTTCTCTTGGTTTCACCAACAGGCCCTTTGTTTAATAACAGTTGCACCCGTCAATCATGCAGTTTGTAATTTCAATGACTACGTATTAATATTAATTTTCAGTTAATGTTTTTTCGTATGTTCACTGCAGTTTGAATTATCTTCGAGTAACTAAAATGTACTATGAAATGACGTGTATAGTTCCAGTTTATAAAAATTCTTCTTACGCTAACGTTGTCTGTTACTGGTTGTTTCGATCTGAACATTATGTACATTATTAATCATTATTTCATGGTGCATGTTTTCTGCTTCGATGAATTGACATTCTTAATATTAAAAGGAATTTTTCCTCATTTGAATTTTTTTTTTTTTTTTTTTTTTTTGAAGTCTTTTTTGTCAATTAAAAATAATGCGGCTTATGATCAAATAAACACAAGTGGGGCTGTGTGGGTATGTGTTTTTTTTAAAGAAATTATTTTACTCCAAATAGCTACTTCAACTATCACTGCGGAATTATCAACATCCTCTTGTAACTTCCGCAAAAAGCGATAATACGCTCTCACTGGACATACTGAAGAAGTTTAGTACTACTTTTTTTCCTGCTTATGAAGAACACTCAAGTACAAAAAACAAAAAAACAAAAAAAATATTGTAGAAGCAGCTCGAAAAGCCCAAAATTTAGCCTCTCCTAGGCTTTGTCTGTTTTTGTTTAAGCTAGACATAGCCTAGAATAGGTTAGGTTTAGGCTCGTACATCGACGTCCAAGGAAGATGAAATATAATTATTTATCTCCAGAGCAAGATCGTGCCAGCCAAAACCATGTATTTTTGGTACAACTTTGTGAATTAAAATATTTTTTTATATATACTGTATGTTCACTCGTATAAAATGAAAATGTAAAGAATTTTGCGGATTTTAGTGAACGTGACAGCTAAATAAATAAAATAAACAAAAACGTAGTTTCTTTTTTTTAACCCTTCGGCAACGCGTATTGTCGGGGTTGCTCTTAATTGTTCGTTCACGTCCACACGCGCTTTCATGCGTCGACGGACGCATTCATGCGTATTTCAAGTTTTTTTTAATATCTATTAAAAGTAAAGCTCCCCTTCTTTTCACTAAATTAATTTTTTATGATATTTATTTGTTATACTATTTTTGAAGTATCAAGTATACACATCATATCTGTTTCTTACGAAGATTTTGAAAACGTTGTGAATGTGATGAAGAAATATTCTTGGTAAAGCCATCGTTGGATTGTGAAATTTGTAACAATGTAGAATCACCTCCAAATTTAAACTCTTTTGAAACACCCATTTCCTTGAATAAGAACATGCGGCTTTGAAAAATAATACAACTAAATTGGAAACAATAAAAAAAGAATACTGGGTAAAATAACAACGTGTAAAGAAATGTAACTGTGTAAATTAAATAAACATTAAGAATCTGTTGTAAAAAATTTGATTATACAAGTTTTAATTATTCTTAAACAAAGCTACTGTGGATTTGAGAATGAAGCGCAGAAGACAAGACTCTTTTGTTTCGATAAACAAAAATGTATGCACGCGTATATACTTGTGAAAAAAAATGAATAAATTACTTCCTTACCGATGACAAAGGATCGGTAAAAGAAATGTTCTAACTTACCAACTGCAAAACTTTTTTGTGCTGGTAAAGTTGCGTCAGCATTACCAACAGCAACAATAGTCGTGACCAGCTCAACCAGTTGATACCCATATGTGGTATAGCAGTGTAAATCTATCTCAAAAACGCCGAGTCGTCGAGAGGGCGAAAGATGGCGCTGATTCCGATTGCGCGCAGTTCAAATGCCTTCAATCTTCAATGTATATGTATGTACACATCATGTATTTATAAGATAGCATTTTATTCCGAATGCTCCGAAGAGTGTGAAATACTGTGAAAGAAGTCCGAATCTCCGAAAAAAGAGTGGCGCGCGCAACGTTGAAGATACAAATATATAAATACAATCGTACGTACTTAACTTATGCTTTGTACCATTGTACCTGTTATTGTTGGGTGCCCGAGGGTGAGGAGAATCAGATCTGATATATATCTATATCCGTACAAGTACAATTTCTACCCTATATCGAGTGGACGTAAGCATAGGTACTTATGTGTGGTGCAAAGCTAACGAAACGGCTGGCGAAAATTTCGGGCGCAGCTGACTCTGAGGCAGCTCTCTCGCGCTAACCCGTTGCCGCCCGCCGCTGCCGTCGTCTCAGTAGTATAGGTACTTACTAGCTTAGTATGCAGCACGCATAGCAGTGACTTCGTTTGCAAGACGGGCTCGTCGTCGCGAACCACGCGTTTACACACAACTTACACCTACTTAGTCTTTATCGTTGGTTCTGAGGCTAAAAAAAAGTACAACAAAGTATAAATAGAGAAACAGTTGTGCGCGTCCAGTGACTGGTGTTTTATTCGAGTATTATTTGCAAGGGAGAAATACAAAAAAAAAAACAAAAAAAGTGCGATAAAGATGACGAGGCAGCTGATGCAGAAGCAAAAGCAACATCAGCGCGTCAGCCGCGCTATATTTAGGATATAGGTGAGTAGTGTGAACTGTCTGCTCCATGCATTTGAGATTCGCGTACAGACTCCTATTGTCGCATATACATATATACATATACATTGTGCATTTAGATACACACCAGTGTAGTGTTACACTTGTACATTTTACAACTTAATTGTTTGTACCTAATATGTGTATATGCTCCGACGAAAGTTGCCAATTGCTGGTCGAAGAGTAGCCCTTGGCGTGTATACAAGTACGTGACTAACTTGCATGCGAGTAAGCCAAGTGCAATCGACGATCACATGTTACGGGATATTTTTTGCTTTTGCATCGTATAGGAATGGAAGGATCTAATTATTAAGAAATGATAGTGGCCATCCAAGTACAATATATATCTACACCCAAGCAAACTGACACTCGTATAGTGATAATCGTCGGAGTTTTTCACCTGGCCTGCACCTATAGAGTTATAATACCTAAGTCGGTTTTTGTCTGCTGCAGAGAGTGGCTCTTGGTTACGGGGTGGTCGGCAAGTGAGAGCTGAGAGAGCTTCGAAAGCTTTTGTGTGATTTTGCGTCCCTGCTGTGTAGTGTCAAATTTCGGAGTGCTCAACGGAGCGAAGCTGACAATATGAGATGGACGCTCGAGCTTTCAGCGCTCGGCGCTTTTCCTCCCCCGCTCGAGATTCGCAAACTACCTGCGTGTATATAACCTCACTTTTTATGGCGCCTCCTCTTCGACAATCAACTGCCTTTTTTATCTCACTACTTTTTCGTTATTCCATATAACTTCCATGTACTACTCATTTTACTTGATAATTTTTTATTTGTTTTCCTTTTTTTTTTTTTTTTTTTTTTTTTGAGGTCGACAACTTGCACAAAAATCGACGTGTTCTTGCTACGTGCAATAATATCACGTGTTTACTTACCTGTCAGACTTTTTGTCTCGCTACTGGCGGAGTATTACTTACACAAGTGCCTTTCTGTTACACATACCTCTTATCGGCACTTTAATATTTATTGTCGTAATTTTCATTTTACTCATTTGAGTGCGTTTCGTTATTTTTACTTGCGGTAAACTTTTATTAGGAGTGGAGCGAGTTTTTTTTACGAGTAGTAGTTTCACTGTAAAGTATAAAAAAAAAAAAAAAAAACTTTTCCGGCTAAAGAATCTTTTAGTTTTCGCGTAGTAACCAAGTATATAAAGACGAATACGTGAAGGAAATAAAAGTGTAATATTAATAGAAATGATGAAGAGCAATAAATCCATGTACTGCACGTTTGTATCAATAAAAAACTCTATCAGCCGGACGTTTATCTCGTCAGATAAGCCATTATGCAGTAGTATCATCATACATCATTGTAGTTACTCGTTATCGTCTTACGTAATTTATTAACCCGAAGCATTATAAAATTAATCACTTGACACCAGAGAGAGAAAGAGAGAGAGAGTTATTTCGATTGCTTTGAGTGTATTTTAAGCCATTCCAAGGAGAAGAGAATTCGCGTCCATTCAATCATCAAAAGCACAAAGTTAAAAGCGTTACGTCACACGCGATTAAATATGAAAATTGGACAAAGATGTGCAAGAGAACACACAAGATAGCTGGTGATGCGCGAACGAGCGATTTTTCCTTTGTCCACGTTTTCCCTGCTCGGGTTGTACCTATATGCATTATAGGTATGAGTACGTGTGTGTGTGCATACACACACGTGGTCCCACAGCGGCTGGGAAAAATCGATTTTCAAGGATGTGTATGTACTAAGACGGGCACAGGGGTCCTCCTGTTAGGTACACCATGGTGCAAGTATTGTACGTGCTCAGGGTGGATCTTGAAGGGTGGCTCGATGCGTTTCCGGTTACGTAACGCGTTAGTATACCTACGAAGTTACGGGGAAGGGGAGGGGGTGCTTCACACATGATGAGCGTCAAATATGTATAACGCGTATGGCCCATAATATGCGTCCCAAAACACCCCAACCCCCGTTTCTTTTTCGCATAAACATAAATATGATATACCTTCATGTATGTATGTATGCATATTATAATGGTACGGGATTCCCTTCTCATCCCCGTGTAATTTTCGGTGCGCGCGCGGTGGTGTGTGTTATATATTTTTCTCTCCCTCGCTCTCTGATCCCCCACCATGAGACCATGACGGCCTCTCTATTGATTGCACCGCCGCACTACTGCCCTACTTTTGCAGCTGTCTCACTCTCTTGGGCAATTGCACGCTCTCGCTCCTTCTGGCTCCAGATCCCGGTACGGCTCCTCCTTACTCTCCCCCCTCCCCCTTTCGTTCAGTCCAGAGCATCGCGAACTTCTTACCCTCTCGACTTTGGAGCTCGCGACTGGTACGGCATGCCTCCTTATACCTACCTCTCGATCGTCATCATCGTCTTACAACCTTCTGTGTCTGTGTGTGTGCATAGCAGCCCCCTCCCCCACCCCCAATTGTGTCGGGGTAATTATTTCTAGAAAGAGCTCGGCCGATCTAGCGTGGGGAGAACAAAGGGGATGCGCCTCGTGTATAGGTGCGTCGAGAGCACTCTCGCTCTCTCGAAGCAAATTTTCCTCCTCCGTAGGCCTCCTTATTCTTGCATGCACTTGTATCTTCCACTTATCGGCTCTTTTCCTCTCGGAGTTGGGATACATACCTATATGTATACGTATTTCGCCAAACACTCGATTGCCTACGTTTGCTTACGAATTCATAAACACTCGATGTTGTTATTATTATTATTTTTTTTTTTTAAACGTCATACCCGTATCACGTACGTACGTAGAATTGTTTTCATTTAATCGCCATATGTACGTGTTGGTTTCGTTGTTGTGTTTTTTCAACTTTACTCTCAGCATCAAATGTTAATTAAAAATAGTTGCCCGATCGTGAATCATCTTCTTCTTCCTCTTCTTCTTTTACCTTTTGGGAATAAACATGTTTTTTTCTATCGATAAGTAATATCGAATGACTGATTTTTTTTTCTATTTATTCACTGCACGATCATGACGCGAACTTGGAAATTTTCGTTGAGAATAATATTATTGTAAGGTGAAAAATATACATCTCCCACGCGGTAATCCCTCGCTATTATGGTCGAAACGAAAAAAAAAAATTATGACTCTTTTCGAGTTTGTCATATTCATGGAAGTGCAGGGTATCGCAAAATAAATAAACCGAATGCCTCGGATTTCTCCTCCTCGACGGAAAATGAATCATTTGCTTGGTATACATCCGTTGGAAACGTGATAATTCGGTGAAAAGAAAATTTGTGCAGTTGTAGGTTGTTACCTATATAATTGAAAGCACGAGCTTGCAAGCTCATACGTGCATACTTTATACACATTAGCGTGCCCGCGAGAGAGGGGCAAGAAGGAGAGGGACGGAGATCAAGGTTACGGCTATTTTTGAAAAGAGCATTTCCGCGATGCACCGTCCGCGTGAGGGGTATACCGCTGATCCCACCCGCGTGTTTTTTTTCTTTCTTTTTTTTTTCACGAATCATCAAATAAGAATTTTCCCAATGTATAACCAATTTGAAGTTCAAGAGAAAAAGATTTTCGGAGATCAAGTTTTGGAAGCTTTTTTATCTACGCGACGACGACGACGACGAAGGTATATAGACAGTTAACGTCCGGTCGGCGTTTTTACGGGCATTAATTTTATCACACGCCACACTCGACGATGACAGCGACTACCGGATGGTTCGAGGGGCCATACATTTTTAATCAAATGGCTCTCCTTGTCTGACGTATATACGGCAGTTTGTAGTGGGCATTTAGTTTATATTTTATGTGACTGGGTGCTCGATGAGTTTTTTAAACTCTAATGAAATAGCCGAATGCCAAGCTATTTTTTTTTTTTTTTTTTTAATCCCAAAGGGGACATTATTTTCGGAAATCGCGCTTTGGTAGGTAAACACGCGAGTCTTATCGGGTTGATATTGTATGTAAAGAGAAATAGTAACGTTCAAAGAGCGGTGGTGCTGCAGGAAGGTGTATATATATATATGTATAATGTCGATACGTGTTTATATTTTCAACAAATAGCTTAAAGTGAAGCGAATGTGCTCTAAAAATAAATCACCGAAAGCTTATTTTTCCTCGACTTTGACGTCATGACGATTAATTTCGAGCAAAGAATAATTTTCCGATAATCGAAAGTACGAACAACAACAATTGTTCCCTTGGTTATGAAGGAAATCGGCTCAGCTTCATGTTTTTGTTTTGAAGCACAACCACCTACGAGCTTTGGCTTAAAAATGGCGCAATGACGAAAAAAATGTATGTATTTCTGAACTTGGGGCTTTTCGCTTGTTTTAATGAAATAATAATATGTGCCGCCACTTTAAAATATTGCATTCGCTCCCACGCTTAGCACCAGGTCACCACCGTCTGAGCGACCAAAAGAAAAAAAGCACAGCTGTGTTTTTATTCCATTCCATTTCAGATTGAAGAAACACACACTCGCGGTCTATTGAAAAAAAAAAAAAAATTCCATTTATTTCATGAATCGTCCCAAAAAGCATTGCCAATGAAAAACCCCGCGTGCTCACGGCTCGGCATTTCCGTTTTCCAGGAAAATCGAACGAGTTCCGTTTTTCCTCTCTATCTCACTCTCCTTCCCCACATACCTATGTATCCATAACAAGTGTGGGTATATGGAACATTCGCGCCATGCGATTGGCCGAAAATCGTGCGATGCAAAACTCGATATACGTCGCGTGTACATATAGACTGCACGCCAACAGCTGTGTGTACGTTCGTGTGCTTGTCGAGCGAGAAAACGCGACACATAACACGGCAACCAAACACTAATAGAATCAAAGAGGGGGGGGATGGAGGGAGTATGGAACCCCCTCCTCTTTGTACACTTCGAGTGACACGAGCCCGGCTGCGGTCAGACCTGTATATGATGTATACAGTAGAAACAGCCTGACTATGGACAGACGAGTCTTTTGCGCAGTGTTGTGCAGTTTTACTGTATCTACTTAAATAAGTACCTACACGACTTGATTATCCAACAAAGATAT